TAAACTTTAGAACTTGCGAGTGATAGAAAACAGACCACAGTGTCTTAAATAAGATAAAGTATTTGTTTGACCTCTGTATGCTTTTATGACTGATCGGACCTGTAAAGATACGTGTATTTGAAAATCATTTAAAGCTGCTCTGAGAACGTATTTACTCAAAACCAGCAAACATTTAGAGTTGTTTTCTATGAATTACTTTATTTTCACTGCACTGGTGTATCTGCAATAGCTTTCTGTAGTCACTATGATCCATTTAAGTTACCAGCAACATAAAAACATGTTCTTATGTTCATGAAAAACAGGAACAACTGAGCAAAGGCAGGAGGATGGTGCAGGTTATTAAGGAACATCAGGTTGTTTTCAAGTTTAAATATTATTATTGCTGTTTGAAGCAATAGTTTAGGGTTATAGTTCTGAGTTTGAGCCATTTCCTACCAGACTGAGTCACCTACAGACCAGTGTGCAGTAGCATCTGTAGTGTGACTCCTTCTGCAATATGGGGTCTTTCAAAGCCAGCCAACTCTAGACAAACTCCAATAGCTAAGCACGGGGGAGGGAAGTGAGGGAGGGAGAGACAAGCTTGTTAGATTGTCACCTGAAAGATGACCTTCCTCTAGAACAAAACATTTCCTTTTTTCTCTTTCAAGTTTGTATTGACTCCTGACAGCCACCACACGTGGTAATATATTTCATTAATGAGGTTTTTTAGAATGTCGTGAAATATCTATGATACTTCTCCTTCCTTATACTTTTAAAAAGATCCTGATATCCTTTGCTTTCTTCACTGTTTTTCTGATTTGCTTTCATCCTTGAAATTACTGAAGTTTCAGTCCGAGTCTGTATTGCTTCCTTTTTTTCTTCCTCTTTTCCCTACCAGTAGATCAGTTGCCTCTCCCCATGGTGTGTGCCCTGCCGGGTGTTTGTCGCCCAACACACACACTTCTCTGTAATGCTAAGCCAGTTTGAAGGAAAGCTTTTAGACTTCTTTGTCAAGCTCCTCACTGCTGCAGGCCTAGCAACAATTCTTACGGAGGGTGATTTCTAACTGGAACTTACAAAAATTGTATTAACTTTCGTTTAAATTTCACTTTAGAAAAACCACAGTGAGACTGAAAAACAGATGAACATCTGCATCTAGCCAAACAAAGAACATAACAGTGGAAGGGATCTCTGGGTCATCAAGTCCAGTGCTCTGCTAGCCTGGGAATTGCATCAGATAATTCTCTTTTCATAAACTTTGCCAATACTAAATTGGAGTTGTTATTTCTTTGCCCCCAGTGTTTCCGCCGAAGGCTGTTCCAGAGTTTGATTTATTTTAATGGCTAGAGACTCTGCAGTAATTTGCAATCTGCATTTTTTCAGCGACAGCTTATATCCATGTGTTCTTTTGCCTGTGCTGGCTGTGGGCTTAAGGAGAATTTTTTTTTTTTAAATCTCTTTGCGTTTTCTATTTATACGGAATTAAAAAAAATGAAAGGTTTAAATGACTTTTTAAAACAAGTCATGCTAATAGGAATTGAGACTTCCTTGAGTAAGCTGATGTTGGCTGAAGTTACAGTAGTAAGAAATACCACTACTTTCACAAGGAAATGCCAAAAGCTTTTGTCCGAGGCGATATTATTATTTGAATTTTTACATTATTTTTTAGTTTTTTTTTTTTTTCTGAAAAAAACAGAAAAAGTTTTCAGTGACATTCATAGCAACTTGTAGGCATTGTTTTATTTTACTTTTGGGTACTCGTTTTGCTGCTTCATACTCAGCTGAGACATAAATGTCTTTCATGTGGAAACTTTACACTATCCATATGGTATAAGATAGAAATTGGGGATATAAAACTATTTTATAAGCCTCCTGTATAGCAAATCTGAATGACAAAGTGTTATTTATCAGAGATAGAGTCTACTTACAATTTACAAGGACACTCTGTGTGATAGATTTATTGCATTCAGAGCTTAACATTTTTTTAATCTTACTTGTTAAAATCTCGTGCATAAAAAGACATAATTTGAGAATTATAAGTTGGTAGGTATATTCAGTACTATTTGCTGTATTATTATGTGCTTTTAAGCAGTTATGTACCCCCAGAATTAGGGCTAGCTCTCCTATAAATCACATTTGACCCTGACTCGGAGGTGATACGGAATGGAAGGAATGTTTCAGGACTTTGAGCAGCACTTTTCTAAAGATACTCTGTCTGTGCATCTCCATAAAGTTTAGTGAGGGAACAACGCATGAACTCTGCAATAACTATGTCACGTTAAAAATGTTGTAGCATTATCAATGCTAAAAAGACCACAGAGAGTTCCATGGCAATAGAGCTTGTGTATTCCTAATTCTTTGCTCAGAGCATCTCTGTCAGGATGAAATGGCCCATCATCAACTGCATGCACGTTTCTCTGTTCCCAGTTCTAGATCATGTCTCATCTGTTCTGATGTGTCTTAGCGTATCCCCAGAGGAGGAAAAAAGCATGTATTTTTGCCTTTTCAGAAAAAAATTCATGTGATATAGGTGTCTGAGGCAGCATCTCACATGCACTTTTGTATGTGATGTGCAAGTGATACATTGCTGAGTTCCTCTCTGTTTTAAGGCATATGACAAGTTCCTTTAGCGATAGGGCAGCATACTGTAAGCTCCATTTTCTTCCTCTGGAAGCTGTGCCTCAGGAATTCTGCTCATTTTAGAAATGTTGCAATTCAGAAATTGCTGCAATTCATTGCATTTTTTTTTTCTTTAAATAAATCATTTAGGAAATGGAAACACGATTTTTAGCTGACTGGGAAAAGTAAGCCTTTATTTACTGTGTAGTTAGAACTATAATAGCTGACTTTTAGCTGAGAATTTGATTTATGATCTTTCAGTATATAGTCTTTTGTATGTCCTTTATGTGCAGAAACTATGGAAAGGGACTATGAAGGTTGAGAAGTCATTCACTGAAAGTCTGTTAGTTTATTGGTGTCAGCACTGCAGTCGTATCACATGCAACTTAGTTTTACTGGATACGTAAATTTGGATACTTAAATTTAGTATCCAGTATTAGAGGTCTCTCACAGACCAGGAAGAATGATTTTTGAGTTATATTCCATTTAATACAGAAGGAGATTTCAGTACTTTAGCTGTTTTACAAGGTGCTTCTGAACACCCAAGGTTTATAAGGTGAGCAGTTTTTTCCTGCAGACCTATTATGCACTGTTTAATTCTCAAAGCACAATTTCTTTGATGAACAGGCTAATGGAATCTTTAGTGCTCATAAACAACATTATCTCACAGTGACATTGTCTAAATTACTTCTCTATTTTTTTAATACTCAGCTTAATATATGAACACTCAACACAAACTTTGAGATTAAAGAAAACGTGGACAATGGAAATCACTGCTTCTTCCAATTATAACTTTATAACTTATATTTAAATATAAAATTTATCTTTTTTATTATATCATCATTATAGCACCAAAGCAGGACATTCCTAAAGGATACACCATAGAATAAAATAATAAATCCTTACATACAATACTGAAAGTAAATAGTGTTTTCCCCTCTGTGTTTCATGTCCTTTCAGTATCCCTATTAAGTCAAGATATCACGTTGTATCACACTGTATGACATGATAGTCGTATTGCTCTGTCTTCATTTTGTGTGTGTTCCTGGTACTCAGTCACTGTAAGAGACGTTACCTAATGGCAAATAGACACTGGGACGTGTTGTTGCAGATAGGAACCTAATCCATCCTGAGGTGTCAAGGGGTAATAAAACTGTTCAACCACAATTTTGGCCAACTGCAGATATTTCCTGTTTCTTCTATACTTTCTGTTGTCATCTGCTACTGGCGACTCTTGCCAGCAGGATGCTGGTCTAAATTGAATTTGGATCTGAGCTGATACAGTTATCCTTATGCTTTTAGCATATATGATTTCTTACACAGTTGTGACTGTTACGTTCAGCCAAGTCTGTGATTGTGATCTTTTAGTGTGTTTATTTGTGTGAGTTTTTTTAAACCAAACCAAAACAAAAAAACTCTTCTTTCCTGTTTGCTTTTATTTTGCCATTCTGCATCATTGCAATGTCTTTAATAAGGCTAGCCAGGAACAACATTTGGTGTACTGGAAAGTAACCCAATAATCTGATTTTTCTATAAATGCAGGAAGAGCTTTGCTCCTGAGTAACTGATGGTGTTAAAATCAACAACAAAACAGTAATACACTCTAAAGATCAGCTTTATAAGGATGGTAACCTGAGTTAAGCAAAACTCAGGAAGCTAAAAAGTGTCTTGTCTAGTATTCCATTTTTGCCTGCTGCTATCTGTAGAAAAATGGAAATAGAAGTAAATCTGCTATGTTGTGGTCCATTTCATACATAAAGGCAAAAATTCTGCCCTCATTAAAGTGAATAGTAAGATTTCAGCTAACTCAGTAGAGCCAGGATTTTATCCCTAAGGTAGTTCCTTCAGTGAGGCAGGAGAGGTATAGTAAGCTAAAACCTTTGCAGAAAAAACACTCACAGAAATAGAGAAAAACAGGCACATGTGAGATTTGTCTGTGCCA